TTGCCCCCTGGGGGGTTGTCCGGGGGGGGCCCTTTTTTCCCCCTTTTTTTTACACCCCTTTTCTTGTGGCCCCCCCCCCCCGAGGTTTTTGGGGTGGCCCCCCCCCCGGTTTGCCGGGGGGTTGGCCCCCCTTTGGCCAAAAGAAGGCCTTAAAAGGGGAAAAATTTTGGGTTCCCCTTTGGGGGGGGGAGTTTTTTGGGTTCAAATTTCGCCCCCGGGGGGCTTTTTTGGGGGGGAAGCCATTTTTTGGGTTGGGGGGGGTTTTTTTTCCTGAAACCGGGGTTTTTTTTTTTTTTTAGGGGCCCCTGGAAGTTCTTCTGGGGGACTGGGGCCCCCAAAAAAAAAAAGTCCCCGGTCCCCGCGGGTTTAACCCCGGAAAAATTTTTTTGAATTCTTTTCTTAAAAACCCCCAGGGAAGGCCCCCCGGGGGGGGGGGGATTCTCTCGGGGGAAAACCCCCCCGGCCCGGGGGGGGGGGGGCCCCCCAAAAACCGGGAATTTTGGGGCGGGGGGCTTTTCCCCCCCCCCCCCCCCCCCCCCCCCAAGGATGGTTATCGATAGGATAGGATACATGGGGTAGGGAAAAATAATTTTGAGCCACCTTTCCGAAGCATAAAAGGAACGATTGGGCATCGGTGATCGGTCCTGTGGGAACCTCCATCCTTTTGAGGAGGTGTGGTCAGTTGTTGAACCTGAGGCATGCGAAACAAGAGTACGCCCCCATGCCCCTCCCCCGTGCCTCGACGATGTCTGTGCAGAGCGGTTCCCCTAACTGCTTGTCGGTGGTGGCGGGGGTCATGTCCGTCGTGCTCCAGGCGTTGAATCGCCAGGATGCCTTGTCGTGGGCTAGCCATCTCTACCAGGTGAGCACGGGAATAACCGTTGTCTTGCCCCACCACGTGGCCTTGTTTATCTGGTAGTTGGATCGTTTTTGCGCCGAGGTGCATCCATCAGTTCGCGTTGTGATGTTGCGAAGTGGTACATACTTGTAGTTTGTGACTGCTGTTTCGTCTTGTGTGTTGGGAAATATGGGGACAATTTTGGTATTTGCGCTTGCATCCAAATGGCCGCTATAATTTCGAACAAGCAGTGTGGTATCACTCATAGTCGAATAATACTCCGTGCCGGATCAGCCTCCTCTCATTGATACGTCGTCGTATGTATCTAAACTCGATTTGACGCCTCTGATGATCGGTTGGCACAGGCAACTCCGTTCCGGATCACCCTCCTCTCATTGATACGCACCCTGCTCTCATTGATACGTCGTCGTATGCATCTAAACTCGATTTGACGCCTCTGATGATCGGTTGGCACAGGCAAGTGCGGTCGCCAACGGCGGAGGCTACCTGTTGGACCAGGAGAGGGACCAGGAGGTCGCCTACGAGGAGGAGAGACGCCGCAGGTGCCTTGTCTCGTGTTGTGTTTGTGCATGTCATGTCGTGTGCTGGAGGCTGGCGTTTGCTCTTCCGTCCTATCGTTGAGCTCTCTTACTTCTCCCTCCGTGTTGGACTCCGTGCTGTCGCTTGTGGCGTTGTTGCGCTTGCTTTGATGCTTGCGTATGTATCCCCCTCTCGGCCTCTGCGTATGCCCCCCTTTTTGGTTGCGGCTGACTGCCGTGTGTCCTCGTCCTTGCCTGAGGCTGGTGCATGAACTAATTCAAGACGTGCTTCTTCCTGTCTGTCCGCCCGTGGTTCCCCCGCATTTCTTTCGCTGCCCGCGTATGGCTTTTGCGAACGATGGCTTAATGGGTCGGTTGATGAAATGAATTTGCGTTTGAACAAACAAGGCTCGCCCAGGAAGCCTTAGAGCGGGAGCGGTTCGCCCGCAGCAAGCGGAACAGCCCGCAGCGGCCGCGCTCGCAGGCGGAAGAGGAGCAGAAGGAGGAGGGTCTGCCGCAGCAACCGCAGCAGCAGGAGGGGGAGGATGGACAGCCTGCAGCGGACGGCGCACCGGTACCCGCGGCCGGCTCAGACGATGTCGTGCTGGAAGACAAGGCAGCGGTGGCAGAGGCGGCAGGGGGGGCGGCGGCGGAAGCCGAGACTGCCACCGCCACAGTGTCGGCGGAAAGCGCTACTGCGGGGCCCCTTGGTTTTTCTACGACGGACCCCACAGCAGCGGCAGCAGCAGCGGCAGCGGCCGCCCCTGCCGTCGATGACGCCGCCGCCGCCGCCGCTCGCGACGGCGACGAGCAACAACGATCCCTCGATGGCGACAACGCGGACGACGTGGTGGTGGTGGTGGCACCGGACGCCGCCGCCAGCGCCGGCGATGATGATGGCGTTGGCTCGGAGAAGGACGATGCCGACGAGTCTCCTTCTTCTCCGACTGCTGCTGCTGCTGCTTCTGCCGGTCGCCCCGAGCTGACGGTGGAGGTCGGGGACGTTGTCAACGGCGGCACGTCAGCGGCGGCGGCGGCGGCCTCGGGGGGCGCGGCGGCCGCTCTCTCCGCTCCCTCGGAGGAATCGACCATCGGCGACCTCGGCGGTGGGAGGAGGCCGTCGGGGAGCGTGGGCGGCCGGCCCACCTTTGAGAGGAAGTCTTCGTCCGTTATGGACCTCATCCGAGAGAGGGAGAAGGCCGCCCAGTCGGCCCGCCTCCCGCCGTCCGCCCGCAAGGAGACCTCGGCGACGCACTCGCCGAGCCTGGCGGCGGCGCTGACGCGGGGCAAGGTGGGCGCCAAGCCCTGGATGGGTGCCTCCGATAACAACAACACGCCAGCCGCCGACGCCGCCGCCGCCGCCGCCGCGAGCACCCCGCGATGGGGCTCTTCCGTGTTCTCCTCCTCCACGCCGAAGGCTTCCGCCGCTGCTGCTGCTGCTGCGAGCGGCTTCTCCTCAACAACTCCGGCCGTGGCCTCTACCGGCGGCGATGACGCGACTGCGGGGGAGGAGGAGGAGGAGGAGGAGGAGCAAGAAAAGGTTGCGAGTCTGGCGGCGGCGGAAGCAAGCGCGGGGGCTGGCGGCGGGGGAGTCGGCGAGAAGGCCCTGTCGCCGTCGATGGCAGCGGCACGAATGCGCAAGACCGTAGACCGATCTATGTGGAGCTCGGCGCCGTCGTCGAGCGGAGCAGGGAGCGGGCCGGGCTTGTCGGCGACGTGGGCGTTTAACTCTGCCGCCGGCAAGCAGCAGAAGAGTTCCGACGAGTCCGCGCAAGAAAGCGGCCCGGCTGAAGAAACGGAAGACGGAGCGTCGGGGGCGCCGCCAGCGGCAGTGGCGGACTGCCCGCCGCCCGCCGGGTTTGCGGCGGCGAAGGCGATGTTCGCGTCGACGGGGGGCATCCGCGCCAACAGCAGGCCGACGGCGACATCGGCGGTTGCGGCGGCGGATGTGCTTGCGGCGGCGAAGGCAGAACGCGAGTCATCGGCAGCAGCAGCAGCAGCAGCAGCAGCAGCAGGGGCCGTGTCATCGTCGTCATCGTCCTCTGTGCGGCAGGAGGTGGTGGTGCCGGCCTCCCCCGCCGGCTTTGCGGCTGCGAAGGCTCTGTTCGCCTCCACCGGAGGCATCCCCTCTGGCAGCAAGGCTTCGCTGCCACCGCCGTCCAAGCCAAGGACCAGCACCGGCGCCGCCGCCGCCGCGTACGCGCGCGCCGCGGCCACGAGCAACAGCACCAGCGCCCCGGCCCCCAGGGAGCCGGTCCATCGGGCCACGACGAAGCCCTGGGAGAAGAAAACCACTACCGCTGGCGGCGGCGGCGGCGGCGGGGGCGGCGCAACCGGTGCTTCTTGGGGTTCCGCCGCCGCTCCCGCTTCCGCCGCTGCCGTTACCACGACCGACAGCAGCAGCAGCAGCAGCGACGACGACGGCGAGCCCAGCTCTTCCGCCGGCGGCGGGCGCTCCCTGTCCCCGGTCACAACCCCCGGCGCCGGCGGCGCCGCGGCCAAGGGCTCCACCTCCCGCCACCACCAGAAGAGCAGCGAGCCGCGCGCTTCCCCCGCGGTTGCGGCGGCGGCGGCGGCTGAGCCGTCGCTGTCGTCTTCCTCCGTGTTCGGCAGCACCGGCGGCAGCGTCAAGGCGATGAGCAGGGACGTCTTCGGCTCGTCGTCCTCTGGGTTCAAGCGGCCCCCGACGGGAGGGGTGGCCCTGGCCGGGTTCGGGCTGACGGCTCCGGCGGCGTCAGCGAGGAAGGTGCCGGAGGTGGCCGCTCCCCCGCTGGAGAGCCGGCCGATCGGCGGCCCGTGGGACGAGGAGGAGGTGAGCTTACGTCGCAACCGGACGGAGTAGCCCAACTCTGTGTGCGGTAGGCTAGGCATTCTTTGTCGTAAGTTGCCGAATATCTGGCCCGCGGAGGCAAAGTTTCCCCCCTGTGGTCTTGTTGACTGACTGCGCGAGTTCGACCCGGGTGGGGCAAGGTCGGTTTTCTCCTGGGGCTCCATGTTTGGGCGTATGGGGGGGGGGGGGGGGGAACCACGTTGCCCGGGTGTCCACCTTGCCCGGGTGTTTGGGGGGGGAAACCCGGGCCCCTGGGTTTTTCCCCGTAACTCTCTGCCCGTGTTACCTGCCCCCTTTGGGCCCCTTATCCATGTGTTGGGTTCCCCCCCCCGGGGACGGGGTTCCCCCAATGGATGGGGGGCTCCCCCCCGCTTGGTGTTGTTGTTTTTTTTTTTTTGTTTTGTTTTTG